ATAATTAAAATTTAATGTGAATGTATTAGATAATGCTGCAAACCAGACATAATAAAACATAAAATCATAAATAATACTCAACGTTAAACTGGTACACAATTAAAGACTTTATTTAGGCCTAGCTATGGCCTTCAAAAAGTTAACAACTCTACACGTTTCGACGTTACAACGTCATCCACAAGATTTGCAACTTCTAATTATACTATAGCTATAACTAATAATTTAATATAATACTTTTATTAGCTTTGTAACTTTGTTTTCAAGTTTCAACTGCTATTATTTGGTATAAATATACACACACACACACACACACACACACACACACATCAAGAAATTGAAAGTAAATTTTTGATATTACAATTACAAATAAACTCGTATTGGTAAAATTTTTGCAAAATAATGTTTAATTATTATATAAAAGAAGATACAAAATAAGTTTACCTCTACTACCGGTACTGAATTAGCTAGGACTCATGACACCAAGTATTGAATTTATCTTCGTGCCTAGAGTAAACCTTTGTTATTGTATACTTTAGTTTTTCTTTCAGTTTCACTATAGTCACAATTACTAGCGGTTAATTTTCTGCAAACAAAACGTGCAAGTTTTTGCCTTTTAAGCTTAGATTGGTAGTTGCATAATGATATGACAAACAATCTCACAGCTGAAAATACAACTAAGCTACATCTTTAAAATATCCTAAGTTCCAGAATTTTGGACTTTTCACAAAACCCAATCCTGACATCAACTAGATATACCGTTATTCAGACGGAATCACGTGACATTTGTGGCCCAATGGCAATCACGTACGTACAAGCAAAATATTTCTAGCTGATCTAGGGGGGTGATCTTTTATTCAAATCTTTAAATTTCCATTTTATTCTACAATTCTCCAAGGGGGCGATTTCTCCTGCACACTATAGCTACGCCACCGTTTGTTAATGAGATATATCTTTTATTCGGTTTGAAATAAGTTAGTGTATTTCATGTAAAAGTTAGATTCTAGAATATTAAAAGTATGTTATGGAAGTTGTACAATATCGTTTATTTTACATTTAAAATGTTTACTTCATAACTGTATAATGTGAATTTTAACCCGCTTACGTAAAATAATGTCTTCTTGATTTTGTTACTGAAGGTAATGTTCTATGAAATATTAACGGCAACATGTCATTTAGAATATTTAAATTAGTTTATATTAAAAGATAAAATGCTAATAAAAGTCAGACCGCTGCTTGATAATCGTAGGAAAGTGAGTGGTATATGAAACAATATTTAAAAAGCAGTAATACAACATTGATATGATTTATTGGCTTTTTGATCTTAATAGTTACTGATTTTAGCAATAATCTCGTTGTTTATCCGGTATTTTAAAAATATTTAATATTTTTCTTCAAATATTGTTTTAATTATCTATGTGTTGAAAAGGATGGCTGTGTCGAAGGGTGCGTCTATTTTATATTAATTTTCTTGTCTTTTTTTAAATATTCCTGGTATTAAGTAAGTATAAATAACTGACAAAATAAGTTGTGGTACTTTTGTCTACATTAACGCATAATTACTTTTTGAAACTTGTGTGTATGTTTTCAAACAAAGATTCAATGATTGACAAATTTTTAACAAATAATGTTCACTTTCTCTATTAACAAGTATTTCAATACTTTCTTTGAAATCCACTTGGATATTACATATAAATGAATATTCTATCACCTAGTCCCCCGGTAGGACAGCGGTACATCTACAGACCTTCAGTACCAGAATCAGGGTTTCTATTCCACGCGCCCCTCGACGTGGATACCTATACGTGGTGAGTTGACCTCCCAGGGAAGGTTCTGTATTTTCAGTTACTTCCTCTGGGATCTAAACATCTACCC